TTGTCAACATCTAGTCAAATCATCAATCGATACGCATAAAAATTCAAAAAATTCCTTCTTATTCGTTTCTTCTCCTAGAATTTGAATTCAAACTTAGTTGTAGAATCAAAAAGAAGTGATGACTTGTAAACAAACCTGTCGTTGGATAGACCATCTTTATGTTGAAGTGATACCCATCTTCTCCACGACAGAACATTAACGGATATTGAAGAGCATCATGTGACCGATGAGTCTCATAAACTCACTGCACTTGGCCATTATCCCGACGGTTAAAAACAATATCGCGTTATTCCACATTCTCGCCAACAATCATCACTGCGTGTTCATTGATAGTGGGAGCGTTAAATTGTCTTGCATGGCTACCAGTGGGTCTTTTGTCAGCGCTGATAATGATTTTGTGTTCGTCATAATGCATTATATCCAATGCAGTTTTGAACAATCTGACCAATTCATTATGCTCATAGAGAAGATTTTGCAATTGTTCGATAATTTCACTTTAAGTTTCAGTAAAAATTGCACAGCTGTGATTTAGTTCAACTGCCGAATCACCAATGAAATAGATCTGAAGGAATTTAAGATCTTTGTTTTGTGGTGATAACAAAGCGCCCGCTCGGTGGTGAATTTGCCCTTGAATCTGAATGTTGGAATGCAATTTCGAAAAAATGTGAGTTGTTAATTTTGATAATAAAGAGACGCCATTACCTTATAACTTGGATTGTAGCCTGATTGATGAAAAACCTCGACACCAAATGACGTAATTGGAAAGCATCCGTTATATTTTTGTGCAAGCTTTAGGAAACTGTTTGATTGGGCTGAATTTCTATATAGTAGCGAATACAATGGCCCTGGTGGATGAGCCAAAACGGGCAATTTAATTTTGCCACCTGCACAGCATAAGCCGGGGGTTTCCAACCGAAACTTCAGTGCATTGCAATCCTAGACAACGAACCAATAACAACGCAGGTAAGATCCTTGTAGGATGTTTCAGGATTGTATGCGAATGCAGCGCGTTTCAAGTTTTCATTTGCGGCTCGTCTTTCTCTATTATTATGTCGGGCTTGAGGTGATCTTTGTGGAGCGAGAAGCTGTGCCATTTGGGCACGTATCGATGCATTTATTTCTGTACGTTCCTCTTGCGTCCGACTATTACGGGAATTCTGAATACTTATTGCATTGCGTGAACGCCGTCCAAGTCTTGATCGTCTAACAGCAGGCATTACTTCCAATTGGTAATGCTTCGTTAGCTCGATTTTTTTGTTTAAATATTTTTTTACCGAGTTCATTGATACACAATTTCAACGCAGCTATGATCTTTGTAGGGTGTTTCAGAATTTTACATACAACAGTGTGTCCATCTGTTGAGCCCCTAGCGACTTTTCCGGAAGGACTTCCCAAAATTTTCTTACCTTCTTACCTTCTTCTGACAATTACAAACAACTGAAAAAAATTTGAGCCAAATCGGCCCAGCCGTTCTCTTGTGATGCCATTAGTAACATTTTTTGTCTCCATTTTTATATATATAGATTTATTTTTGACCCCATCTTAGATTTGACAACATTTTTGCCGTGTTCAACCAGTTTTCTCGTTTTGGCGATAGGTCGACAAGTTCACCGCAAAAAGTTAGCGCCACGGTTGCCATATTGTTGGTGGAACGAAACAGCCAGTTAAAATACTTATAAAATATAAGGGAATACATCAATAACTTTAAAGGAGTGCCAAAATTGTTGTTTATAAATAATGCTATTTAATTTGATTACGTAAGGGGGGGTATACATGTAAACGGTCAAGTAGACTTTTTTCGTGCATTTTTTAAGTATTTAATTTTTTTGTCGTAAATTTTTTTTTATTTTTTATTTTAAAGTTCAATATCTTAAGAATATTGTGTCCAAGTTTTACATCGATCGTAGGAAAATTGACGAAGTTATGCAGAGTTGAACGAGAGTCGGTTGGTGTTCAGTGCATGAGAATCACAAAGTTTAAAGAGCTATCCTGAAAAATGCCAGTTTGAAAATCGGTGTACACGATAACTCAAAATCTACTCAACCAATCGGTTTGAAATTTGGAATATAGCTTCTTTAGATAATAACAGGTACTCACCTCGAGCTTTTTTAATTTTTAATTTTATTATATTTTTAAATTAACAAATAGACTTATTGTTAAGTCAAAAATCGGGAATTTGACAAAATCGGGAAAAAATTTAAAAAATAAATTCGCTTCGTGAATACCTCGGGACATTTATCCTTTAACGAATGAGGTCTAATTTTTTTTTGATCGGATGATTCTGTGGACAGTTAGGATGTACTCCCGAGGCGACTCGGGAGATTCCCAATAACTTCTCTACCTCTAAATATTATTCAATACAAAATTTATTAAAAACTGTTCAAATGTTGTGTTATTATATGGTTTTTAATTCATTAAACAAACTTTAGCCGTTTCGCCACAATACATTTTTGAAAAGTGTCCCGTTTTGCACCGAATTAACCTCTTAAAAAAAAGTAATACTAATTTGTATTACCCCCATTTAGGTTCAAATAGAAGATAATTTAATGCTGATCATAATAATTTTTGATTCACTCCGATATGTTACATAGTTTTTTCAAAAAACACTGTAAATTATGTGAAATTGAGGTTCAAAATGCCTAGAGCACGACGTTTGAACATCGGTCTCCGCTAGGGTTGTCGAAATATTTAAAAATATCGTATCGATGATATTTTTTATTTGGAAAAAATATCAAAATGATATTTGATATATCAAAAAAAAAATATCGATATATGAAATATTTTTGATATTTTTGTTTTATTATTATTTTTTTTAAATTTCAATAACCACTAAACATTAACTCACATACGATCTTAAATTATATTTTTAGATTTTTATTTTATATTTATTAATAAATGAAAGAAAACTATATTTATTTTTACTTTCTTTTGCTTTCATTTATATTAAAATCAAATCGGATCAAAAATGTATCTTATATGAAAGATAACAAAAACATGCCTTAATAATAATAAATATTATACCCTTGCAGGGTATTATAATTTCAGTCAGAAGTTTTACAACGCAAGGAAGGAGACCTTTCCGAGCCTCTAAAGTATATATATTCTTGATCAGCATCAACAGCCGAGTCGATCTAGCCGTTTACATTTTGACGGATTAACGGAGAGTCCATTCATGTTTGCCCACTTACTAATATTTGACAATTCAAGGTTACATACATCTACACAGTCAAAAATTCTAGCAACAGGACAACTAACATACATTTGAGCATGGTCAGCATACATATGAAGATGACCATTGGTTAATACACTCGGGAGGTCATTCACGTACATAGAAAACAGTAGTGGACCAAGAACAGAGCCTTGAGGTACACCTCGCGTCAAAATCATATCGTCAGATGGTCCAGTGTCAGTGATCACAGTTTGCGATCTGCCATATAAATATGACGAGATTAAGTTAACAGCAGTGTCCGCGAATGAGAAGAACTTTGAAAGCTTCGTACATAAAATTTCGTGGTTAACCGTGTCAAAGGCTTTGCTAAAGTCCAAAAGAGTTAATAACGTCACATGTTTGTCATCAAGTTTTTGTCTAATGCTCTCAGTTATATCTATTATTGCAGTGGTACAGCTTCTAAATTGTCTAAAGCCAGATTGGTTATTGCATATTAGGGTGTTTTGTCTTAGAAACCAGTTGATCTGTTTGGCCAATAGTTGCTCAAAGACTTTGGATAAAAATGGCAGTATGGATATCGGCCTATATTCGCCGTTAGTTTTTGGGACAGGAACAATTTTGATTTCCAGCAGGTAGGGAAACTAGACATAGTCAAAACGGAATTGTACACATATGTTATTTTGTCTAAAATCTTTGGCAATATAATTTTTATAAATTTGGGATGAACATTATCAAGCCCAACAGCACTCGATTTTACAGAAAGGACTGATTCTAGAACGTCACACGACGAAACACACATAAAACTAATGCTATTATCACAGATATTATTCACAGTCATGTCCAAATAAGGGGTTAGTCAATGTTTCAGGTACGTTTGATTGCAGGAATTTTTTGTTGAGATTATTGGGGTCTATGTCTAATTTGTTATTGTGGTTTGATTTTTCTATTCCCAACATTTTAAGTTTCCTCCATTTTTGTTTCATTGTCATTGTACTGGTAAATTTTTGAGCGAAATAATTGCTCTTTGCATTGGCAATCATCAAATTAGCAGTCATTCTCAAAGACTTAAATTCGTCATAGTAACTTGCAATTTTGTATCTTTTCCAGCGTCTATAGGCAATATTTGTCAAGGTGAAGGAAATTATCACTTTTTTCGAAAGAAGCTGCGTGGCAAGCGACAATTTGCGAAAACATACGGATAAAATATTAATACAAGACGTTTCTACGAGATGGAACAGCACGTTTTACATGATCCAGCGTTTTTTAGAGCTCAAAACTGTTGTGAATGATATTGTTCACACAGGAACATGAATTAAAAATTAAAATGAAATTGTAATTGTTTATTAAGCCATGATACGGAGGGCTTTGTAAAATATTAGTTGCAAAATTAATTATATCGAGTGAAACAAAATAAATACAGTCCACTTAATTTTAATTGCAACTAATTTAAATGTACCTCGAATCTTGCTGGCCCTTGGCAGAATGTTCAAACATGAACACGGTTATAAATAAGAAAGCATCTGTTAACGATTAATTCCCGGCCACAGTGCACTGTCTAGCACTTGTGTGCATAGCTATTTGAAACCGCCACTTGAGCCTATGTAACAAGTAACCCGAAATATGACCTCCTGTGAGCGGTCTGGCTTTGTTTAGGATATTTACGATCGGGTTGACATGTGCACCCTTATCGCTTAGAATATTTCTCACGATCGGGAACTGTCCGATGCGTGGGTCTAGAACTAAGATCTACAATGTACATTCTCATGTTAGCTATATAAGCTAGGGTTTGAATGGAATAAAATCAGTTTCTTACAAAAACTCAACACATGAAGACTTCTTATTTATTTTGGAGCTCTTTCAGATATTCTTTTAAGTGTGTGCAACGAATTGTCTATGTTGAACGGAAATGAGTTGCAATTGCTAAATGATATCATTCCAATGCTTCGTCCGCTCGAGGAAGCAACAAATATAATAAGCGGAGATTCCTATTGCACAGCTAGCATAGTAATTCCAATGGTAAACATTTTGAAAGAAAAATTGGCTAATGTTACACCGAACATGCCAGATGCAAACGACATAAAGGACTTCCTGCCACAGGAAATCGATAGGCGTATGGGCGCAATCGAGGAGGTATTATTAAAATCTAGCATATGTTAGCTTAAATATTTATTTTTAATGTATTGATTTAGGTCTCATTTCTTGCAATGGCAACTTTCCTTGATCCCCGTTTCAAGAAATTGCATTTCAAAGACGCGCAGGCATGAGAAACTTCAATCAAAAAAATAAAATCAATCGTCAAACCGATGGCCACCGAGAACGTCAAGGAAAACCTGAAAAATTCAACAAATAACAATTCGAGTTCTTTTTGGGACCATCACCACCATTTGGCAGAGTCGCACAGTCCCAATGGCGATGTAGATATTGAAGTAATGTCGTATCTGCAAATGCCATTAGCGCCTTTTCACAGCAACCCTTTACAAATATGGGATGGTATGAAAAATTCTTATCCTAATTTACATAGAGTAGCTTTACAATTTTTACCGGTAGTGGGATCATCTGTTCCCTCTGACAGAGTGTTTTCAGCTGCTTCTAATGTTTTGAATCGAAAAAGAAATAGGATATGCCCAGATCAGCTAAGTTGAATTTTATTTTTGAAAAGCGTAAACAAAAAATATTATTTCTGTAATTCGAAAGACTAAGATTACTATGAAACTCTAAGAATGAAAAGACTGCTAGAAAGCATTATTATTTTTAAGTTTTTGTGCCTATGCAAAATATCTAAAAAAAATGAAAGACTGCTATGAAATTTTGTTATATTTGTTTTAATGTTTATTGCCTATTTTATAATTTAAAAGAAAATGAAAAACTGCTATGAAAGCAGTATTATTTTTAATTTTCATATTCTGTAATAAATTAAGAGTGCTGTGAAAGCATAAATATTGAATTTATTTGTTTTTTATAATATAAAAATAAACAAAAAATATATAAATACTTCGGAAAGTTGTTTGAAGCTTTTATTCATAAATAATATAGTAGAATTAAGCCTTTTGTAATTTAGTAGAAAATTCATCGATGCATCGAACATCTAAGTTTTTTTTTAGCAATATTTTCCGATGTTTTCCGATTTTTTTTTTATACCGATGTTAAGGTATGCATCGATGGTCTATTTTAAAAACATCGACGAACATCGACATCGAAGTTTTCCGTCGAACTTGCATCACTACACCTCATTTCAAATGCATGCTTAAAGGGATCTTTTTCAAAGTCCTCTTTTGCATTTTCTCAGAAATTAAATTTCTATAATATGATAAATTATCATTTATCATTTGGTCATTGCCAACTAATGCCCTATTTGTACTGGCTTTCTTTATTATCTTATTTCTAAATTTGAAAGCAGTGCTACCCTTAATTTCTTGCTTGGCAAGAAACCGATTTGTGGCCCTACACTGTGTAGTCTTTTTTGAATGGAGTGAGTCAATTTTGATTTATTTGAAAAAACTTGAACTGATCCATTATAAGACCCTTTAAACATGTAAAAATTACACGACGGATCTGTGCAGTAGGCATAAGCTACAAACGATTTTTGATTAAGTCGTATCAACTTAAAATTTATGGAGCATGCATTATTAAAGGAGTAAAAATTCTCCCTTAAGACATGCTCTATGCTTTGTTTTTCGGAAAATTTTGAACAGCAATTTGTAATTATTTCCTCAAAGCCCTGCATTTGTTGCTTTGCAAATAATAATCGACATGGCTCTTTTACTCGAACCCGATTAGGACTGCATTTAATCATTTCTACATCAATATTTAAAGATATATTACCATCCCGACAAGCCTTGCGACATATTAATTTCGCTTCAATAAGGCTTTCATCTATCGGGTTGGGTGGGGAAATTGAAACTGCACTACTGGAAAGATTTTTTAAATCTTCAGAATCCAGAGTGTGGCCTTTTATATTCGGCAGAAAGAGATCGGCACATTCCTTAATTCTTTAATTCCTTTGGTGATGAAACAGGAGATAAAAATTTGAAATTACATTCCTTTATGGCCCGCTTGTAACTTTCAAGTACAAGTTTACGCCACTTATTAGGCATAGTCTGGTTTTTAAACCTACCACTATTAACTTTTGACATGACACAATAAATTGTATGTATAATATTGTAGTCCAAGTTAGTTAAGTTTCCTGACAACGTTATAGCCCCAGTCTCTATAGACTGTCGAATGGCGTTTGTCAAAAAAGGAATTCTTATCCTGAAAATGAAAAAAAAATACAATTAATTTAAGAACAGACTAAAGTAAAAAGTCAAAAATTAAACGAGGTGATCCCATTACGGCAATGGCCAATAGCATATACGGACTTAACTTTAAAATTTGGAGCAATACCAGAAATCTGATTCTTTTGCATAAGGTAATAAATACCAGAGAGCCCAGTTATCTTTTTGAAAAATTAAAATTTGGAACATCAGCAAGAACCAATAATCTAATAAATTTTCGTCATAATCTTTCGTCTTCTGAACGCCATTTTTTTATTCACTCTATTCGCTTGTGGAATGAACTTCCTCAAAATTTAAAATCAATAAGAAGCACACCGCAATTTAAGAATAATTTAATAAAGTTTTATAGAAATGAAAACATAAACTAGACATAATAAAATAAATGTTCAATTACAACATAAGGACATTCAAATTGTTAGAATAGGATATACATGTATTTCAATCTTGTGTAGTTTTAAGACAGATATGAAAATTTTAAAATTGACCCGTTGTGACTATCGCACTAATTTATAAGTTTTTAACTTGTAGCGTTAGGAATTTATTTACCAATAAATTAAATTAAATTAAATTAAATTGAGCTTATTCCATTTTTCTGCATGGCAGCTCGCGCAATTAAATTTAGAGTATGGGCAAAACACGGTATGTGCTTTTTTCGCCCAAAACTTAGCTCCACAGCTTTAACAACATTTGCTCCGTTGTCGTTGTCCGTTTTCAATATGCCAATCGGTGCAGCATGTTTCCAACATATTACAAGAGGTACACTCCAGTGGGCCTCTCGGTGAGCTCTAAAACACCGATAGTCAATGACGTCATGTCATGCTGATCATGAAAATGCACAGTTATTCCCAGATAGCTTCGCATTGTCATCTGGTCGCTCCACACATCCATTGTGATGGTGACAGTTTTGTCTTGCAGCAGTGTCTAGCTGATTTCCCTTAACTGCATGTGTTTATGGTCCACTCATTTCGTTATAGTAGCCCGCGAGGGTATTTTGTAACGTGGTGCAATAGTTTTCATTAAGTTAATGAATCCCTCGTTGTCAACAATGGAAAACGGTTGCATGCCTTTTGCGATCATATACACAACGGCATCGTTTATTTGTTTTGTTTTTTGGCCGTCGCACAGTAGCGCCTTTTCTCATTTAGCGCTGCAAAAATCATATCTTTTGAACCAAATAAGGTAATCGAATAATTTAAACGGCATTGGACAGGTAATTGTTGTAAAATGTATATATGTACTGCATAAAGTACCACGCCCATAAATACGCATTTTTAAAGAGTATCAAAGTGAAAAAATATTTTTTTTTCAATGAAAACAATTAAAAAAAAATTTTATTTAATTTTTTATGTTTATTTTTATGTATTTACTCAAATAAAAATAATTTGAAAACTAAAAAAAAAATTTGTTAATTCAAAGTGTAACCGTAACGCGGTGTCGGTATTTTGGTATATTTAACCCTGAGTAGTTTTGGTTTATGTCGTTGCATTTTCGCAGACGCAGCACGACGCAGCCGATGAAAATTAATTTTGGTCCAGGAAAGATCCACGTAACTTGTAGACATACTGTAGTCGGTGGCTTTCATCGGCTTCAGAAGTTAAAGACTACTTTAGGCAGAAAAAGGTGAACAAAATGGACACCTGGCAGGTAGCGATTTACCTGTACAAGCCCAAAGCAAAGTGCCGTTTTTTTGGGTTAATTAACAGTTTATGAATTTATAAAGTTTATGAATTTATAAATAACACATAAACAGAAAGGTACACGATGCTATTTCATATTTATCAGGTAGTACCTCGACTGTTCTTGATTTGGCAGAGCATGAAACATATGCAAAGCCAATTAAAAAGAATGGTGATTATTCACTTAATACCATTGCTGGTAAGAGTGAATTTAAGCAACGATTTACGATAATTACCTCTGAAGCATTAAAAATCATTTTAGAGGAATCAAAAATCGGGGAAGAAAACTAATTTTATCATCCAAAAATGGTGGATGTTATTTTAGGGAAATATATAGTTATTGCGTCATTTTGGACCAATATAATGGGAATTTTTATTGATCCTAACATTAAAAGACCCAGCAATGGTCCAATAGAGTCCATGTTTAAGACACTAAAACACAATGTTATAAAAAATAAGCAGGGACTAAAACTTGGTAGATTCATTCGTAAAATGAATGATTTTTCAAACTCTGTGGTGCGGCAACTTGAACTTGCACATTCAGAATTTTCACGTTCCCCATTGACTCATGGTACTGTTATTAAAGCTAAACCAAAAAAATTTACTTTAAAAAAAATGAGCGTACAGCCGATATGTTGTAAAATAAAAAATTATCAACTGTTAAAGAGAGTTGGCAGAAAAAAGGCAACCAAAAACTCAAATTAGGGTTATTCAAGGGAGATTTTTCAGGACTTAATACCGTCTGTGAATCGAATTTAAATAACACACAAGGAATAATTGATTCAAATTTAAATGCTTCGATACAATTAGAACATTCTTACTCTTGTACGGTTAACGCATTTAAAACGGAGGAAAACTTTAAAAATATTCTCAAAAAAGCATTTAAAGCAGGTACGATTTTAACAAAAAATAAACTTCACGTGCTAAGTTGTAAGACTCTGTTTGAGTCTGTACATACATTGAATTTAAATCAATTTGTATATCACCTTGAATTGAATGACATACTTACACTGCAGAACAAACAGTGGCTCTCTAACTTTGTATTAGATGCAGCTTTAACTGCTTTAATATATAACCATGATGACGCTACATACGTTTATGTACCGTGTCAACTTGATGAGTTTGGTTTTCAGAATGTGGATCTAGTTAAATAAGCTTATAAGTCAGCTTGTCATTTAATTATTCCACACTGTTACAAAAATCATTTTAGTATATGCGTTGTAGATACTTTTAAACAAGAGTTTATATTTGTAGATCCTTTCGGTCAAACACCAATGGCTGAAAAGTTTAAAATATACTACAAAGATATTTTGGAACGTATAAGTAAAATGACTTATACTTGCGTGTCTATTAAGCACGATATTCAACAAGACGAGTATAAGTGTGGCATTTTTGTACTGCAGTTCGCAAAACGTCACTTAGAGAATAACCCCATGACAAATTTGCAGCTAGCATATTTGTTTACTTGGACTAGGTGATTCTCTAGCTAAAACTTGCTTGCGTTGTGGCAAGCATATACTATTCGATACTCTTGTATCATGTAACACATGTGGGCGAATCATTTGTAGTCAATGTGTTTCCAAAAATTATAAAAATAAATTTATAAATTGTGTAATGTGCATAGCAACCTAGAAAGTTAAAAAAAAAAATAAATAAATATACAATATATAAACATTAATACTAGTAAAAAATTCAAAATATAAAATAAAATTTTATTTGGAATTATGCACGTAAAAATTCAAAAATTATATCCACGTTAACACTAGTAAAAAATTCAAAAAATAAAATACAATTTTATTTGGAATT